TGTTTTAGGAGAAGAAAATGAGAGTTTATTGTGAATCATGGGATCACCCAGCCAATATGAAAGACTCCGGTGAACAGAGTGAAATGGAAGTGTTCGCCGACTGAATCCTTATATTTTACTCGGCACTTCTACTTGAACAATAAACAGATTCCTTGATAACACAGATTAAACATTTAAATAAATAATTACCTAAATTAAACGAATCAGTCTTAGTAAAAATTCTTTCTATAATATTTTGAAATGTCAATCTGAATACCTATTGTCTTATTCAATCAAACAATTGAATATTACGTCAATGCATACATTCACAAATACGCAGACAAGCATAAACGACGTGATGTGAGCACATACCAACCCACACACAGATACAAAGAGAAATGAGGATATATATATGTGACACACATCCGTCACTGTGCACATATGTGAGCAATATACACTTGTGTATCGATAATACTAGTGATATCAATCAATAATTTACGGAGTGCTTTACTTGCACACACATACACACACACCTACGCATACAAACACACACTCTTGAGGGTTCAAAATGAAATTACGGCGTATAATAATAATGAGAAGAAGAAAACATAAATAGATATAAATAAGATAATGAATAGACATTCTTAAACTGGTAAAATTGATTTTGGCACACATGTATACACAGTGTTCCTGCTGTTACATCTACTGATTTACTACACTGTTATATGGCTCTAATAGAATTTGAATTCATAGACATATACATGTGGATAACGGTGAACTGTGCAAAATAAATGATGTGAGTATTAACTAGTAATACAAGAATAATACTTTGGTTTTCATTTGTGTGAGTATATGCGTTAGTAGGTAGGCATGTTTGTATACATGTATGCGCCTTCTATGAATATATAATGAGTCTTTAAGCTTTCTCTCTCTCTCTCTCTAATGTTTACAATTCTACACCTGTGTTTGTATGCATGCGTGATGCGGTAATTTTTTGAGCCACTCAATAAAGTAAATTTCCAGAATTACTCAGTTACACAAAAACACAAGCACTCAGTTCAGCACCAGTTATAAGTGCACAAACAAACACAAGAACAGACAAAAAATAACTGTTTAAGTAAGAACCAGTCAACCAAACCACACAAATATGAAAAAGAAATCGATTCGAGACAGTAACACGCAACCACTCAGTGAATTAATTAACTTGGCTAGTGGTAAAGCTATATCGTCAATCAGTAGAAGTAATAATTCATGAGCTGATCATTGCATCGAGTCGCAATGGCTTAGAGGTTTGTGAGCTCGCTCGCCTTGTAAATAGTGAGTCCTGGGCTCAGCCCCTGGCAGTGGGTGCGTACTAGTGAAGAGACCAGCACCAGGTGGATGAAATGAGCAGCTGTTCAGTACTCCATGAGTGGTTTTCTATAAATTATGTCAGCTCATGTTGCAATCGTGAAATCTGAGTTTAAATATATATTAGGAATTTACTAAAAAAGTGGGGAATCAGACAGGATTGGAGGTTTCAACTAGAATTTATCTAAACGGGTCAAAAGTGATACAAACGAGAAAAAGTTCTTTTCATTGATAAAAATGATTAGGATTCTTCTTTAGAATACAAACCCGCTGCACAGCCTTGGCTATCTCAAAAATGTTAGATTAAATTCATCTTCTAAACTTCTTTCATACAACGCATAAAAGATAGCCTTCAGCATAGTTCTTCAGTCTTTTCTTTTGACCACTATCAATCAAATGAGATAAAACAATAATCATTTTATAAAAAATCATAAAATTATGCAGAATGTAATTTTCAGCGTTTTGTACATAGCGCAAAAATCCAACTCATTTCGATAATGATTTAAATACATAATATTAGAAAAAGTACCAAGAAGAAACGTTATGAAGTATTAGTAGATAATATCATGGATATTACTCGTGATAATTATCTTCCCTCTCACTTTGAACTTCACTTACTCATTTAAAACGTTTATGCGTTCATCGCTGACATTTCTCTCTCTCTGTCTCTATCTCTCTCTCTCTCTCCACACAAAGGCCGTGACAAATATGATGGTGTGGTAGAATTCACATATTTAGTAGCTGTACTAATATAAATTCTCGTCAGGTCTCTTCTGGTTTCACCTCCGAACACATACAAGGAAAAGGCTTCGACTGAGTGGAGAGGATGTTCACTATCAGACAAGATAACTTTAGGGAAGTGGTCTCAGGAATTGAAGTGCATATCCACAAGCCGAATGTCAGTCAGCTGAGTGAAATACGCACACGCGCACTCACACACACACACACACACACCACCCAATCTCATCATGGTCTTCAGTGTTGTTCTACACAATATCGATGACACAGTCTTTGTTGATAATTCGAGGGAAGAATAAGTGGGGTGAAGAACAGAGAAGACTGGTCAGAGTACATGAATCGACAATACATTGTCAGAGTATTGGTTGAGTTATGATTCCGGACAGTCTCATCTCCCTTATTATGTAATAGGTCAGGCGATAAATCTTGGTAGTGTCAGTAAAATGTTTCAGCCTTGTAGATTAGATCAAATAAAGTATAATTATATTTCAATAGTTTACACACAATGATAACTTTTGCTCTTGATAATATTTCGAGCAAAATTACTGCCAGTGTTCACGCCATTGTTGAAATTGTTTTGTTTTTCAATTCGAATTAAATAAAGACAATTCCAGCAGTTTATGTGAACACGGGCAGTAATTTTGCTCGAAATTTTACCAAGAACAAAATTTATCATTGTGTGTTTGTTAACTGTTGAAATATAATTATACTTTATTTGATAAATCTTGTGCTTATAAATCCACAGGGTATGAGACGAAGGATGACCAATAGCTATTTGAAGAGAAATTGATGGTTAGATAAGAGATATTCAATTTACTCTGCATCACACAGTCCCGTGAATATTACAGGAATCATGGAACTGAATCAGCCAATGCTCTCAAGTCTTAATTTCATGTGAAACTCAAAATACAGCTTCTTTCGGATTTTTGTAGATCGATTGAACTGAGAATGCAGATACAACAGGAATGCTTCAAAACGCAACTGTCTTACTCCCAAGTTTTCAGAATATTCTGCTTATCAGACACTAGTTACGCGTCTACTACTACTTTTATGACGAATGGGAACGTTGGAAAAGAAACGCAGAAAATCGAATCTGAAGGATATCTAATGACAGGTGCTGATATAATTATGAGCAGTGCCCATAGTGCTCAGGTTATAGACGTGTCATAATTATAATGAATCAATTAAACTTTATTCTCTCTCGCCTCTTTTTCTCCTACCCTCAATCACTCATTATAATGCCAATTAATAGCAATAACAAATAGTAAAATACTAAGTAAAATGGTAGAAATAATTTTAAGTATTCAAGTTCAAAAAATAAAATCCAAAATTCAAATTGTATTTTATTTTATTATTCTATTATTTTTAGAAATAAGAAATATTTAAATCGCCCACGCAAATAAATATTTTTGAGTCTCTTTGTGCACTCTCATTCCTCTTCTACTTCTTATGGTTATTATAATATCTTATTTTGTATTGAATTTTAGTAGTGTTATCTACTCTCAACCCCCTCCTCCTACTTACAGGCATACAAACAAACAGACTTACTCACTTACAACAACCATACAAAAAGAGCACAATTCTTAGACTAATTCTTCTTCTTGTTATTATTATTATTATTTGAGACCAGTAGGTTGGTTGGTTGGTTGGTAATGATCTTGGCAGAGTACGAATTGTGGTGGTGGTGGTGAGGATGTTTTGGTTACCCAAAAATGTACAAGTCTGCACATTTTTGAACTCATTGTGTGTGCGTATATGTATTTGTTGTGTGTTGGTGAGCTATTTTGACTGTCTTCAGTGGAAGTAGACAGGTAAGCAGGCGGGCAGACATGCACGCACACATATACAAAGAAGCACAAATGCACGAAAAATACATCAATAAAACTCAGAACAGAAGCTCTCGTAATGAATGAGTGAATAACGGATCAGTACCGAAAAAGATTACGATCAATTTACATATCTATCTACCTGCCTACTTATTTAGTTACCTAACTGACTGTGAGATAAAAGCTAGCTAGACAGCCAGTTAGCCAACACATACACACAGGCACACACATATATACGAGCACACAAACACACAAAATGAAAAAGGACTGATTTCTATTACAAGAACTGTACGCATATTTGTATATATATAAAATAAATATATCATTTAGTCTATAAAACTGATGGAAGTTTTGTTTTGAGCAGTGCATTCATACTTTTTTTCTAATTGCCAGAAGAGTGAATATTTGTGTCTTAGAGAGCTCTGGTGTACTCTACTCTACTGTGGTGATTTTATCGTGAATATTTTTTTGACTTTTCGATAATCAAATTCAGAATCCAGTGGAGGGGATTATTCATACACATACAGTATACATAGATACATCGACCTATCGAGACGCTGAGTGCTCAACATCCGCTCATCACTATACACATCCACAAATCTGCTATTCATCCTCCTCTATTCCACATTTTGCCTGCTCATACATAAAGAGAACTTATCTCAGTCAATCAATCAGTAAGTAAATCACTAGTAGGCATTCTCTACTAGTTTCCGTCTGAGTTTCTTTAGTCTTCGAAGCTGTTCTTCTGAGTTTTTTTCTTCGTCCTACTCCTCCTTCCTGTTCTTCTTTTACTCAGCGTTATTTCGGCCTCTGATGAGCAGTATTGTGATAACAAGGACAGCATAAGAGAAGAAAATCAATAAACATATACTTAGGAATACATACCATTACGAAACTATATACATACCCCCACATACACTGATAAACAGAGAGGAACTTTCTTTCGAATACTTCTGTCCTCTGGACATCATTATTGCAATACAACAAACAACAAAATACATTTCAAATTTCGACTTAGACTTTCTTCGATTACATTTCCACTAAAAAACCTGAACGTTAAATTGGAACAAATTGAACTTTCACCAAACCACTGAGAAATCATTGAAAATGGGTGAGTCATTGTTTTGTAATATTCATTTTTGTATTTTTGAGTTTTACCCTTACATAATAATAATAATAATAAAACTTGTAATAGCAATGACCTGCTTTATTCCGAAAACAGTACTTTTGATATAGTGTGGAATTTTCAACATCTAGTGGAAACTTGCATCTAACTAACTCAACAACAAAAAATATTACATGGCACAGTTAACTAAAACTGACAACTATAACGTTAAAGTCAGAAACGTACAAAAGGTATAAAATAATAATAATTATAATGATAAAAACTAAAGCTATAAAGTAAATGAAATGGCAACACATGATAAGCAACACATAGGAGATAAAAGAGCCATTTACTTTGTTAATCAACACAGTAGGTTGTTATAAGTCTCACGTTGAACATAACCACTGTCACATAGAACGCGGGAAGGCCAAATGTGGTTTAGTTGATATTTCGTACCTAGTTGTGCCAGTATATAATTTTTTATGATGACTTCTAGTCCTACCTGATGAGTTGAAGGCGGAGATAGGTGTGAATAGTGACGGTGTTGAGAGTCCGACAATACGCCTTTCACCCATTTCTCACATGACTTCAGATGTCTGTCGACTATGAGAGTAACGAGCTGGCACACACCAGTTGGGACATCACTTGTCCCACTGACAACCTGAAATACCCTTCGAAACGTGACATATTTTCTTTTTTGAGAGGCTCTGGAGAGATTCAGAGTGAGGAGGAAATAAGGAAGAACAGGTAGGATGCAAGAGTTAACGAAGTGTAAACGTCGATTCGGAAACTGTAGCTGATTGTCTTAACTTCTCAATGTAGTAGTAGGTCAGACGAAGCATTTTCCTATGAATTGACAATGTGTGAGATGATGAAGAAAGATGGTGGCGTAGAACTATTCCAAAGTATTTTGTTCTTGATTTTGTTTCTGTTTCAGTGTCTTCCTGTATTCTACAGGCATGATGTGAACGAATCAGTTTGTGTAGATCACGTATATGACTTTGTTGTTCCTTATTATTCACTTACGAGTAGCTTATAAACGATAGGTGAAGTTTTTTTGAAAAAGAGTTATAGGGTCGACAATCGAACTTCTGCCTTTGTTCCGGAGAAATTCTGCTTGCTTGACTACAGAATTTATAGAATTCAGTTTCTGTGAAGTGTTTGTTCATCTTTTTAAGGTGGTTATTATCGGTGTAGAGATAAATCTATCTATCTTGTCTCGTAATTTTAAAAAATTTTATGTATGTACTAATTTGCTAAAGAAGCTTAATCTCTGCAATCAGTTAAAACCGCTGAAAATTCCATTCCATTTAATTATAATTGTTTGAAATGGAGTAATTATTTTCAGTATTTTCATCTCTGATGCAGTAAAGGTTTCAGGAGTACTGCTTACTATCGCTGAAGAATGGAATCTCCTCGTAAAATGCATTAGGGACTAAAACAGTTTTGGTTGTGACCTTTGTAATTATACAATAAGTGCAACAATCCAGCTCCTTTCGATAATGATTTAAATACATAATATTAGAAAGAGTACCAAGAAGAAACGTTATGAAGTATTAGTAGATAATATCATGGATATTACTCGTGATAATTATCTTCCCTCTCACTTTGAACTTCACTTACTCATTTAAAACGTTTATGCGTTCATCGCTGACATTTCTCTCTCTCTGTCTGTCTCTCTCTCTCTCTCCACACAAAGGCCGTGACAAATATGATGGTGTGGTAGAATTCGCATATTTAGTAGCTGTACTAATATAAATTCTCGTCAGGTCTCTTCTGGTTTCACCTCCGAACACATACAAGGAAAAGGCTTCGACTGAGTGGAGAGGATGTTCACTATCAGACAAGATAACTTTAGGGAAGTGGTCTCGGGAATTGAAGTGCATATCCACAAGCCGAATGTCAGTCAGCTGAGTGAAATACGCACACGCGCACTCACACACACACACACCACCGAATCTTATCATGGTCTTCAGTGTTGTTCTACACAATATCGATGACACAGTCTTTGTTTATAATTCGAGGGAAGAATAAGTGGGGTGAAGAACAGAGAAGACTGGTCAGAGTACATGAATCGACAATACATTGTCAGAGTATTGGTTGAGTTATGATTCCGGACAGTCTCATCTCCCTTATTATGTAATAGGTCAGGCGATAAATCTTGGTAGTGTCAGTAAAATGTTTCAGCCTTGTAGATTAGATCAAATAAAGTATAATTATATTTCAATAGTTTACACACAATGATAACTTTTGCTCTTGATAATATTTCGAGCAAAATTACTGCCAGTGTTCACGCCATTGTTGAAATTGTTTTGTTTTTCAATTCGAATTAAATAAAGACAATTCCAGCAGTTTATGTGAACACGGGCAGTAATTTTGCTCGAAATTTTACCAAGAACAAAATTTATCATTGTGTGTTTGTTAACTGTTGAAATATAATTATACTTTATTTGATAAATCTTGTGCTTATAAATCCACAGGGTATGAGACGATGATCAACAGAGATTTGAAGTAAAAATTTTGGCATAAGTATACATCTGTATTTGGTTTTTAAGAAACTGTTTATATTCTACAAGCAAATTTAAATCGATCAAGTTTGAATACCTAAGAGAATACTGTGAAATACTAGTGAAATTTTTGTTTCAATAAAGATAGGATGGCTCAGTTTAGCATTGTTAAATGATTTTATCGTTTTATTTCACAGATCTTCATCATCTGCTATAAACTACGCAAAATTTTAGTTATTATAAATCCTGACTATGATACACTTTTAAATGTTTAAATGCTGTCTGTCAATTATTCCGATTTGAGAATATCTGTTTCCTTTCTGGCTTAAGTTTCTCGCTATATGATTTGATACGCTCGAATGTTTTCTTATAAGCTAACACTGTCTACTGGATTTCTCTGTTTTCCGTCTTCTCCTCCCTTTTTCTCTATTTTGCCATTTTGAAAGTATATAAATTGATGTTAACTTAAAACCAAATATGAATTGTAATGATGCTTATATTTTGGATGCGTTGATTTCTCTACTAATACCACTACTTCTACTACTACCATCCAATCACTGAAGTGTTTTGATTACCGTTATTTATGATGATTGTCATTTTAGGTAATCTGTCGCAGACAATGATGATCTGTGAGACCGAATGATGACTTCATCTTGTAACGCTAATTTGGTCTTTCTTTCTTCATCGAAATTTATCGGGGGAACCAAGCGAATAAAATGTTTGTGATTCGTGGTTACAGTGCAGTATCAAGTGACAAGACAGATAATGTCGTATATATATATATGTTGGACATAATGTAAAGGTCTTCAGAAAACAATTTTCTTCGCTACACCCAAAGTTTTCCCTTTCTTTTCCTGTCGTCTAATGTGTAGATTCTGCTGCTTGAAATATTTGTGACTTCAATCATATTTGCTAAAATCAAACAGTAATAAAAAAAGTCTTTTTTCTTCCCTCACGCTCCCCAGTGGAACATAGGGCTTCAAGCTAGTGGCTTGAAGTTTCTGTAGCAGTGTTTATTTTACAGGATGGGGTTGATAGCCTCATGCCCAACCTTTCCTCTTTACCAGTATTGTTTCTTGCTTAGCGAGGTAAAAGAGTGCTTTGGTGGCCGGGGATCGAACCCCGGACCATGTGAATGGTAGGCGAGCGTCCTAACCGCTATGCCACCGATGCTAATGAAAGAAGTTACGCTATATATATTACAGGACATAGTTCACAGGATGGATAGATTTTGGCAAATCGTGTTACATTAAAAGAATTAACTATCAACTACAATAATATTACGTGACAATAATTAGGGATTTTGATAATCACTATTATTATTATGAGATAGAGAGATTTTAAGATTACCAAAATAATATACTGATTTAAAATAATAAAGAGGGGACAAGCTAAGTAACACCTGGGAAGTTTTAATAATGAGAATAGTAGTAGCAATAATAATAAAATTGATAATAACAGAAGGGTACATAGATTAATTAAATAAACAAAACGAAAAATAGACAAATATTGATTGATTTTCGGGGATTTGATTAGTTTCGAGATCGCATAATGCGCTTTTATCGGTTAGATGACCATTTGAAAACCAGACATGGAGTACTGGACACCCATTTCGTCCTCCTTCATCAGTATGCACCTATCGACAATTTGTGATGTATATTTAGTGCAGCTGCCAGCCAGTGTAATAGGTGAGTAACTGTCTTCTTGTTTAACTTTTTAGACCCTACCAGTTATGACTTCTCGCTTGTGACACTGGCTGATAGTTGCACTAAATATATTTCATGGAGGATTTAATCATGAGCTGACATCAGTTAGAGAACCACTGGAATATATTTAACGAGTCGGCTGAAGTTATAATTCATAGACCATTGGATCGGTTCACAGTGTCTGAATGGCCTACGAAGTCGCATCATAGCCGGAAGGTCGTGGGTTCAAACCCTAGTGCGTGCATACTACTAAGGATTCCCAAACTGGAACAATACAGCTGTCCAACACCCTTAAATATTTATCCCTGAATGGTCAATGTAGAAGTAATAGGGATTGACTGTTCATATTATAAGTGGTAGTTTATTCTGAATACACTGCGAAATCATTATTGTCTCCGAAGAATACCAGATACTTATAAGTTATTATCATCAAATAATACAGGTTTCACTGTACACTTAGGTAGATGACATTTTTTATTACTTCAGCGGTAGTATCTATCACCTTTGCGTGTCAAACTCATAAAAACAAAGTCTTATTTTGGCATTATGATTTGGTCAGGAACACTTTTACAAAATGCCATGTTTTAATAATAACATTATCCAAATTTGTTGCAAAGACTAATTGTTTTAAATTATTATTATTATTACGTGATGGTATTTGTTTTAATTAATTTCCAATGATACTATTTATGATCATATGAACTTTTGACCTAACTGGTTGGTTACTCTCATACTTAGTTAGTGTGTTAATTGTTCTTCAAGAGTAATCACCAGCTGATAGAGATATCAGTTAGAGAGACAGCGATAGGGAATACTGAACAGATGTTTTATGCTCCTTCTTGCTCGGGACTCATCAATAAAACAGTACATAACCACCACCACTTAAAGGGGTTGAATCATCTTAGTATCATCAGATTACAAGACAGGGCCGCATACACCATTGAGCTGTCACTGGAACAGAGCCTAACGCCCGCACTACATCTAAAATAAAATGTACTCAGAGACGACAATTACTCCTTGTTTCCAGTGATATCATTCCCAGACAGCGTAGAAACCGAAATAAAAGCGAATAAGCTGAGTAGATGAGAAGTTCAGTTAAAACTGAATGACAGTCAATGGAGTTGAGACATCAGAGTCACATAAAGACTAGAACTGTAATGGTAGTGTAACAGTAGAAGAAAGTTTGTTTGGAATCTGATATCCTTTAATAAGGAAATGATGTACGCGTTATATGAAAATCACTATTTGCATAGGTCTTCCTTGTAGTGTTACTGCTACCCTTTGTACTGTGTTTTTAGTCTTCTTTCGTGTTTCCCATGTTTTGCCACAAAAATGGTTCATTCGCTGTCTTTGATGTTTAATTTATCTCTCTTTTCTTTGGTATCTTTGGTCAGATAAACGTTTCTTTATATACTACTGATAAGTATTGTGAGTAGTGGATACACCACAGTGGGACGTTTGAAAAATAATTTTAAAAATATGATGATTAACAATAAGGACGACTTTGAGCCATATCATTACCAAAAGTCTCAAGTCATCACTGGATCTAAGCACCTCGAGGATCACGACCCTCCAGGCAATCTATCTACACTAAACTAAGTGGTTTATTCAAACCGACTGTCAAGGATTTCATGGATTAATGACAGATTTTGGACTGATCACCCTTGTCCTATATCGGCAATTGTCATTGCTCATCAAGGAAGGTGATGTATTGACACGTGTAACACATGTTGTCCTAGCCGTCTGAACTGATATAGCAGCTTCACAACCCCATCGACTGACTTATGCTCCTTACCACTTAACACCACATCTAAGCTCCTCAATATTACTCACTATATTATACCGCTTAACTAACAAAAAAGGTAGAATATAAGCATCTATGGTCAAGAAGTGCATCAGCGGTTGAGAATCAAACCTGGGGCTCTACCAGTAAACCACTAACACACTATATGTGTAATGTTCGAATAAAAAAATCAATATTTCGTAAACTCTAAACTAACACAATGTATATCAACACTAACATACAAAAGAGCACAAAAGTCTGAATTTTAAGACAAATGATTATTTTTTCTGACAATTTCTTTTCAACCTTTGATCTTCTTCATGGTGTTTTGGCACTGAATGAAGATAATTAGTTTGCAAAGCGATCAGTGATATATAGATAAGAAAATCTGTTTAGTGTGACACTATATACTACTCACTAATTGACATAATTAGTTGGAGGAAAGTGCTCACATAAACCAGTCACACTTGCTATCTAACCTAATCGAAGTGATCTAAACACCAGAATGCTATCTCCAAGTTCAAAGTAGAAGGCCGACTTAGATCCAGTCATACAAATTCTATCTAATTCAAGCTTGTTTTGTACTACGATTTCTATTGGTTCCCCGTGCTTTTTCTGCATACTCAAAACCCTCTTGTAAGTAGTATAACGACGAAAAGAAAATAATTGAAAAGAGACTCTTTTTTCTCCTTAACGAATTTATTATCAAGCTGTACGGTTGTGTGTACATTTGTGAATTTAAATCAGACCTGTTCACTGCAGTCGTCTCTTTTCGACCCCACGAGTGCCGAAAACCTCTTATGTTCTCTGTGCACGATCTCCTCACAGTCCCCTCGGACACTCAGCTCTCCTCTTCTCTTTCGAATTCTATTCGATGACTTGGTGCTCAGTGTTCCGTAGTGGTTTCCACTACTTGTATCCGATCCATCTAACTTCATTTTCTTCGACTTATTTATTGAGCAATAGGTTATTGGTTGATCTGCTGCCTACCAGAAATCTTTGTTGCTTCCTAATTCTTCCTAGTCAACTGGTCATCTGGTCTTCAATATGGAGCCAGAGAAGAAAGAATTCTAACTTCTGAGCGACTACCTACCATTGTCACTGATGAGTATTTGTCTTTACAATCCCCTCTCAACTTGGAGGACTCCACTGGTCACAACTACCCACTAAAACTCGCCAGGCAACTTCAACCTGTAATCAGTCAAGCAGGCGCTAGTGATCACTTGATTAATTTTCATGTGTAGGGTCTTTTTTCAGGGAATACTGAAAAGCCCCAAACTAGTGGGACACAACAGCTCTCAGCTATTACTCTAAGACTGGACATCAATGGTTCTCTCTCTCTCTCTCTCTCTCTCTTATATATATATATATATATATATATATATATATATATATATATGGTTACGTTAAACTCTAGTTTTCCGAACTTTTCACCTTGTCACGTAATATTTTTATTTGCCTACTAATCTTGCTTTGAGATTGATCTAAAAGTGGCTTACCTATCAGAGATCTGATTGATCTCAGGATTGATGCCCACAAACCAACACTTGAAAGATAATCTAGTGCTCAATGTCGGCTGACCATAGGATGAAGTTGCTTGAAGTCCTAGGTGGATTCAATGACTGTGGGTGGTGGCTCTATATATATTATGAATCGACAGAAGTTAGAATTCATGAGCTGACCACTGTGTTTCATCTTAGCGGACGAAAAGATAATTGCTTAACATCATATCCTGAAGCTCCTGTGTGCTTTTATGGCTGGTGGAGTAATGGGCTGTTACTTCTGAAGAGTCCCAAACTATAGAAGGACAAAACAGAAGCTCCCAGGTGGTGGTTTGTTCTCCCGTAGACATTTCAGTGAGATAGTGATCTATCTTCGAAATAAACCAACCGACCAGCACTGAAATATTAAGCAACCGTGTGCTACCAATGTAGTTAGTAAGAATGATTTCAAGATAAACTGAAGAGAAAAGAGAATAAACTCAAGCTAAGAAAGCTTAGGTACTTCATTACCTGATGCACCCCACTGATTATGATGTAACAGCTTCATTTCTGTTCCTTTCCAAATAGAAAAGTATCTTTTGCTGATTTTAAATAAGGACCAAACACTCATGTCAAAATACAATTAGACTTGAGTACTATGTGGCTAGAATACATCTGAGATGTCATCATTTCATATGGAAATGTGTGATTTTAACGTTCTTTCATGTTTTCAGTCGAACATGAAGCTTGATTAAAGCCTTTAGCATTAAAGTTACAGTGGCAGTGGTTTCGTTTCATGTTTCACGGAGTGTATTCGCTCGCCTCACACCAAACCTTCTCTCTTTACGAGGTTTGTTAATGGAGGTTTCGGAGATAAGTTATAACCAAGATTCGAACCCGGAACACTGAACCATCGACTGGTCATCATATACATAATCTTCTTATAATAATTTCTTTTATTTACCATAAATGATCATCGAACTGCATAATATTTTCTAATTTTCATCTTCGTTTTCTACCTTTTTCTAAATTTCATATATAGCAACTGAAAGTCTACAGGCTCGATTAACAGACTTTGAGGTAAGCGAGTGTAATATATCCGTCTCTTGTTATTGGTAAAATTATTGTTATTACTTCCTCCGATTCTGAGTAGAACGTAGGAATTCACATGGGGTATATCGCCATAGTCGATGATACAGCGTAGAATACTCTTCATCCATTTTTGTAATCTGGAGTTCGGTCCCTCCCCCAAAACATACTCTTAAACCTCACTGTAGATTTTGACCAACAGATGGCTTCGGTAGCTCAACAATGAAGGTCAGATAGCTGACCATAATGGATGAGTAACAAGGAACTCTGGCAGGCAGCGAGGCGATCAAGAATTAATAGCCTAACAAATTTTTATAGGAATCGGAAATGGATCAAATATAAGCTGGGGATATTATTACCCGCAAATCAGGCCTTAGAGTGGAACTCAAATGAGAAATGACGAACTTATCGTGTATCCGAGGTTAACATAGAAGACATTTTATGGTAGTCGTGAAGCCAGACTTAGAAATGACTGCATTATGGATAAGACTTTATTTTGATAAATCACACAGTACTATACAGTAATATTAACTGATGACGTTTCGAGCACATTTTATTATTGCTCGTAAGCATATCAAGTTACTCACACAACTTTTTTCTTCATTTATATACAAATGTGGAATCGATTTTAATTCCAGTATCTAATCGATTCCACACATGTATATAAATGAAAGGAAAAAGTTGTGTGAGTAACTTGATATGATTATGAGCAATGATAAAATGTGCTGGAGACGTCATCAGTTAATAATACTGTATAACACTGTGTGATTTATCAAAATAGAATCTTATTCATAATGGAGTTATACTCTATCACAGTGCCCAAGTTTTATACTTATATCAATAATCAGAAATGACTGTATAGAACAGGGTGAATTGGTGATGTGTCCCGAATGAATCCTTATGTTCCACTCCGAACCTAAGTGAAGAATTATAATATGATGGTAAAATTTATAATGAATGGGAAGGTAGGTGCCCGCCTGTTTGAAAATGTAGAGGTTGATGCCTGAGAGCATAGTTAAAAGTTGGAGCACGACAAGATTCAAAACAGCGTCCTCCAAAGTATCCGAATCCGGCCAGCTAGCAGCTGACTTATGAGGAACAACTGCTATTCGGGTTGACATTTCATCTACCTACCTACTTTTATTTAGTATATGACTAAGATCGGCAGTGGAAAACGGTTAGTAATGCATCACTGGTTTACAAGACTTTTTATGATAATCGCAGTTAAATGACAAATTTGTAAGTGGTTGGGCCTCATACTTCCACTGACGAGGTGTCGGGAACTGCTGATATGAATCCTGTTGAGATGAAAATTAACAATTCACCTTCAGACGTCATCATCACCAGCCACTAAACATCAATAACCAAAAAGTCTGCCAACTTAAAGAGTTGTTACTTAGTCTTTAAATCGATAAATTGAATCAGTGACTGAGTAATACTGGTTCACATCACTACTGTTCACAAATTTCTTCGACTGAGTTCACTTAGCAGGTGATTAGTTGGGAATTGATTGATTTCCACTTAGATCATTAAACTGACACATTGGTTAGGGAATCAATGAAAACCAACAGAAAGTACAATGCAGACACTTCGTCCTTGCTTGGGGCTTTCCATAAGTGCGCACCCAAGATCCTTTAGGGATCGAACACAGGACCTTCAGGTTGCCCCTTGGATTCCAATGTTTGCCAATTCGCGCTGTGTTTGTATATACACCCCCACGTGGTCAGTCTTCAAAGGTGAACTATGTTCGGTTAAGAGTTAGTCTGTTTGCCTGCCCTCCTGTTCATCTACTAGTCTTGCAACACATTTACCAGTGACAGGGTCAATGTCATGATTTATATGAAGTGATCAAATTTATTTATTGACTGACTGATTCAGACTGACACTGTATACTTAACTGTTTTATACAAAACATATCCTCCTACTTTCAGCGCCAAGCTCGTGGTGTATGCATCGGTGTCAACCATTTAGCCTTGGACAGTGAACGTGCAAGACAAGCTGAGCTGTTACAAAAAATTATGCAGTTAGAAAAAGATATTCAACAGTCTGTAAGTCTCTCTGTCTTTTATTATGATTGGTTGGTTTCTTAATTTAAATTTTGGTATTTTGGAGAGAAGTTCAACTTTAGAGACACCTAAAAGGCGCAAACGTCTCATCGGCGATATCGGAACAAGCACTTACTCTAAATAAAACAAATTCAGGCGTCTAACTCTATCCTAGCCTTTATTTTTACCGAAAATAACCCTAATCTATCCCTAACCTAAAACCATTTGTAACCTCGCCTCATCTAAAGTTAACCACATATCCTGTTTTGACATCGTTACATTTCATTCAACACATTTCTCCTGCATGAATATATTGTTATTTACCTGGTTTCATTGTCTTTTAATCTGAATATAAGTTTATTCTGGGGTGACTATTGTGATGTGTTTGCTCCTGTAGACGGCGTGGCTAAAGTTGAACTTCGCCCGAAATTTTAAAAGTTATTGATATGCACTTCTTGAAGACGGACAAGACATCTGAACGACTTCAGTTACTCTGTCTAAATTATGACTCCGTGGATGATGACTTTGAAGTTGATTAGCGAGTTCTCCCAGTGTTCAGTATCCACCAGGTGCAGAAGAATAGCACTGTGGGTGAGACCCCATTTCTCGTTTAAAAAACCATCAGGATAAATCTTCGATGACATTTTTCGATAGCAAACCTCTCAGTGTGGTGAACATACCTAACTCCATAGAAGCATGTAAACCGATAAATACACATTGATGAGATTGTCAACAATAATAGCTTATCCTTCATGTTTATACCGATTACTGGTCTTGTGGAGAAAGAGTAAGTCGAAGTGAACCTGCAAAAAGGTTTTTTCAAATCAACGCAGCAAGCAGATTATTAGAATTTTGTGTCTATTAGTCTCTCCTGAACTACAGATTCGGATAAAAAAATGTTCGGGTGCGGGCAAAATGTGTGTGTATATTTGTATGTTTATGGTTTTTGTGGTGTAGGCTTAATGAACTTTGTAATAAAGCGTTGCGAACAGCCATATCCAATGAGAACCCCACATTTAAAGTGTTGGCCCCCTCTCCGATGGTGTTAGGGTCGCAAACCTGTAGTGGATTCCTTGGTTCACTGAACAGAAACAACTTTCGTTTCGTTTGGAAAGACCCCCAACTCTGAAAATTTGTTAGTTGTTCTTTTGTACGTAGACTGTCTATTAATTTGTGTTTTCAGTGTTTTATCTTGTTCACGTCTTGTGAGTTCAAAATCCAAGAAGGTTATTTTTTAATTCAGCTCATTCTCTAATGTGAATTGGACTATAGGATAACATCTGTTGAAAGAATCTTGAATTTTCCGCAAGTTTTCTTCATTATTAAGAATAATACTATTAGAAAAGTTCAATTTTAGACACCTAAATTCCTGAATGCACTAATGAACTGGAAAGACGCAATTAGGTTTGAAGGCTAATTCGGACCTCTAACTCAAACCTAACCCCAACCTATCCCTCCTAACCTACACCTAATCTTGAACTTTTCGTAAGCTAATCTAACCACAAACTAATCAGATATCCTTTTTAGTATCATGACACTTTGTTCAACACTTTTTTGTCGTGAATATGATGTGTCATTTACTCGGTTTAACTGCCTTTCACTTTGACTGTCAGTGTCTCCCAAGAACACTGGCACGATGGCAACACCTGTGAAGGGTGTCTAGGGATTTAACTTTGCCCGTTTTTTTAAGTGTGCACTACTTTTGACGACGGGTTGTAATTGATTTATTTATATTAGGGAGTAAGGGATAACGATTTCATCCGACTAACAAACACGTATTCCCACGGAAGGTGAAGCCTAGAACCTTTGGGTTACTCAACAAAACTGTTCCATCCCCAGAATTAGGGTCAAAGATGTGTTGTACTCATCAAAAACAGTCTCTAACTAGGAGGGCCTAATAACTTTCCAGTAATTCAATTATGGTTTTCAGTAGTTATCTAAATGATGTCAGTTCGTTATTGAAATTAATATTCTCTTAGTGATACTACTCACGATATTATTACTGTATTATCATTGGTGTTTCCTTTTAGGGTGCCCAAAAATCTCACTTGCCTGAAGCAGCTGCTGAAATTCGCGTAAGTAAACTTTGTTAATACTCCCTTTTTCACTCTTATTAAAATTACCTTTGGATTGTAATCGTCAGTGTCTATTGACACGTTGGCTCTTAGTAGGGACACTTTCAAGTTAACCTGATTTCATTTCGTTGATAGGGGTATTATTTTTTTGTTTATTTGAAATATTATGCACCAAATAAAAATAATAAAACGACCATATTATAAAGACAAGTATGGATAGGATAAACAGCAATGAAGGTTGTCCAGAAGGCCAGCAAGCATACTAGTCAAGATCACCGAACATTCATCAGTTCATGTTACTTTATTTCCCCCTCCGGCTTTTCCATCCAGTAAACAGTATGGAGGCCTCTGAGATGACATTTGTAGGACATGTCTAAGCCTGCGACGCTGGTACTTCAAGATGACACCAATCAACAAGTGAATCGAAAAGCAAGCTTCAGGACTTCAGAACTATTTACACGAAGGTGCCATCAGACGCAATTAGTTCTACAGAGGCAGGCAGATACTTCCGGCTGAATTATCTCAGACAGGTTGAAATATGCCTCTTCAGTGCAATTCTTAGCTAACCGTTACATCATCACTTTGATGCGATTGGTTGAACTATATGAGATAAAAAGATTTCACACCAGTTATTCATATTTTTAATGACAGCTGTTCGGACCAATGAACTACAGAAACTTCATATACTTATGGACTAAATCATGGGGCACACCGTGCGGAGTGAGAAAACATGAACAATTAGAACCGTTAAGAAGACTGTAGAAGAGTTGAACTTTACGGACAATTTCTGCTTAATGTCACGCATACTTGAAGAAGATATACAGGCGAAACCCAAGAGAATGGCTGCAGAAGCACCAAAGATAGGACTTTGAGTAAACATATAGAAAATAGAGATGATAAAGATATTCACCGTACAACAAAAATAACAGGCATTAATCGCTATCGACTAAAGAAATTTGAAGGAAATCATCCCTTCCATTTATTTAGGCGGCAGGCAGAATTACAGATGATGTCAAATGCACTATCACAAAAGACAGCTATGTATTTATTCTTATGAAATCCGAGTAGAAATCTGCTGCGATCAGCGTAAAGAAAAAGATTCGGATTTTTGACACTAATGTCAAGTCAGTCAGAGCTTTTATATGAGCTATAGAATTGGTGAATGAGCCACCAAAAGCATTTTCATCATACTGCAGTCTTTCATCAACAGCTGCCTTCGGTCGACACTGAAGATCAGGCGGCCAGAAAGGACGGTCAATAGGGAAGTCTGAAAATGAAGCTATAAAGAGCATGTCGTCAAACGAACATCCTGAAGGAAATGGAGATGGACCGGAGACACTCTGAGAAGACCGTTTAGCGACATCACTCGAGTGGCACATGAATAAAAGGAGGCTAGTTAAGGATGGGTTTGAGCTTGCCATAGCAGAGATAAGAGCTTATAGGCGGTTGTGAAGCCCGCTCAAGAGGATGAAATGGAGGTGTACCCGGTTGAAGCCCTGTGCTGCGCTAGAAACCCAAGAGACTTATTTTAATGTCTGGATTCACCGTGGAAAAGAAGTTGTATAATAAAGACACGAAGTAGGTTATTAAAAGTCGCATAACAATGCAGGGAGTAAAGTTGAAGGTCGTCAAATACCTTCTTGTTATACACAAATTCACATGTGTCCTCAGTGTTAGTCACACTCATGAAAACAGAAAGAATGGTCAAGCTTCAATTTCGTCAGCATATGTGACAAAAAGGCTACATCTCAAAGGAACGGAGCCTTTCAAAACAGTGCTATTACTAGGAATCCTACTGATAATAATAACAAGGTAGACACCCTGAAATTTTTTATACTATATATATAGAAGATATATATTGTACACTTCATCCAAGGTTTGCTGAAGCGATGGCACTATCAAACGCTTGAGACACCCATTTTATGTGTGTTCCGGTAACTCGCTGTCTTTGATCTCTCCATCTTAATTTGATTTTATAATACCCTTTCGCAATAACTGCTGTGTACAGAATCCTAATTTTCCAGGCTATACGCAGCTGATGGGAAGTCGACAGAATAATTGATCGTACCCTTTTATTCGAGTCTCACTAACAGTAACAACAACACAAAACAGATACACTGAACTGAAGAATTCACGTAGATAGTAAACATTAGTAAGGAACTACATGTTTGCTTGGAAGTAGTCGTCAAAACGAGTGTGTTGTGAGCGTCATTCATCAATGTCAAACTATTTGAGTCTGTGTCATTCTCCATCTATAGTCAACAACTAATAACACAAACGACAATGTTTTGAATAATTCCTCGTTATATTGCTTCACTTGAAAGTTGTTTTGCTCACTTTCAAAAGTTTATTGTAGTATGCTGTAGTGGATCAGGTCAATAATTCAGCAATCTATCTTCTCCTAGCTTCTGCTACTTTTAGAATATATCTTGACCGTCATTCAGCATCTAACTCCGAGAACAGGCTCATCAATTCAACTAAATAGGTTCAAACTCACAAAGAAAATCCTAATGGCCTCTTGCGTTTGTATTTATTTGCATAAGCAGACAGTTAGAATGTTTGTCAGCCACCTCTTAAAATCCTCTCCAAGCTTATTAACCAATTGATAGTTAGCCCGGAAAAATGATAGAAGGCTGATTGTGAACTTAGAAACTCCACTGCTTCTAAAAACTGAGGAAATCCAAAGCTTGATGTCCTATTTTAACGTAGTCTTTAATGGTGTAGTGTATTGTATGTATTCATGACGCATTTCTGTTCCTGATTTCCATATATATTTCATTTTCTTTTGTTTTAGGGTTGTATTAACTCTCATAACCCTCCAATTTTTTTGGTTTTCTCTTTCTCTCTCTCTTTCCTCAAAATTCTAGGATGATGTGAAAAACAATACGGCGGCATTACGTTATCTGGAGACCATATCACAGCTGGAGAATTCTTTTACTGTAGGTTATGAATGATTGCATAATTTTTTAAAAACTTAAATTTTAGGTTTTGACTGAAAATGTTACAGAAACCTCTGTACAACTAAGTTCACCGAAAGAGCTGAAAGATGAAGTACATGTCAAAAAAGTAAGTTAATCACTGGTTTTTGAATTAAGTATTGACTGACTGATTGGTTTGCATGGTGATTGCGTTATTTTTGATATTGAAACACAAAATCAACACACAGCATGGGCACCAACAGCACCAAGAGATATACCACACACAACTACCGTCTGGTAGTTTGTGCGAGAGCTGGGATATTTAGTGCCCTAGACGTAGAGACCGAAGCAGGCGCTGGTGGCCCCTTAAGACAACCAGCGCCCCTCCCCAGGCCTTTGACTTGAAATCTCATCTACAAGGTTTGAGGCAACAGAGTGTGTGACTTCGAAAGGGGAATACCCATGGCTACCGCCTAAACTTTAGTTATTTGAATGAATACCTAATAATATTAAACTTGAAAAGAGTTACGGGTGGTTTAACCAAATCACAGAATCAGTCTATCAAGCCTTTGCTTTTTGGTTTTTAGCCAATCACCTGGGGTGATGTAGACTGCTTAGTAGGAGTGCTTGAGACGCAAATAATCAGTATTTCTGGTCATTATAATTATTACAAATCTCTTCTGTCTCTCTGCTCTATATATACAGTCTGACAACCTGAACTACTACTGCTGTCCTGGGTAAAGTTCTGCATTGGCACTCTGTCAGAATATACAAGACTTTCATAACATGCATGAAATGATGACCACAGTTCATAAGTGGGTTTCATAGTTCGGCTTCGTACGATGTCGGATTAATAATTCAGAGGCCATTGTTTGTTATCCTATAGCGACCCTTATTTTCAAATAGACATCTATTTATCCAGTCGTATGCATTATTAATTCAGTGGTAAGAATTTACTCACTAACCAATCTGAGGTTTGATTCCCGACAGCCGATATACTCCAATTAACATTGCCTAGTTTATCGATTGACGGATAGCAAGCATCGATAAAGAGGTAAGGTCGAATGTGTATGTGAAAGGCTAGCATAGCTTCTGAAACTTAGCAACATCTTGATTACCTTTTGTCCCATTCGAAATGCGAAAACTGGTGAAATCCAAGTATGTACAATCTTATCGTGTCACTTTTAGCTAACGCCTATTTCCCCTATTTTTTCTCAACTCCCGTTTTTTCCTTATGTTTTACTACTCAATCAATCAATCAATCAATCAAAAAAATCAATCGAACCAACAAACAAACAACCAATCAACCGTTGAAAATCACCAAACAGGAACTATCAAACAATGTTAAAAGTTGCTGGAGTTATGTTTCCCAGTTGGCTCGATTAAGTCAAGTACACATTAGAAATGCAGCTGAATACCATCAGGTGAGTATTAGTAATAATAATTTAAGTTTTGTAATTCCATATTAATTTGTTTATTAGATATATCATACAGTGAAACAGTATTATTTACTGGATGACAAAGTTTCGAACACAATTTATTGGTTTGCAGAGATTTGACTGTTTTCAGGGTTTCATCATGAGTTGACATCAAGCAGAGTGAGTGCTGGACATATAATTCATCCTAGTAAACTACTCTTCAGCATTACGCACCTAATAGGGTTCAAAAACAGAACAAGTTGGGTACAGCAGGTCAAATGTGAGGAAAAATACTCACTGATGATATCGACTAGTTATCTGCCTACATCGTGAATTAGCAGAAGTTGGAATTCACGGGCTGATCACTGGATCGGGTTCCAGTTGGCTAATGGTTTGCGGGCTCACTCGCCTTGTAATCGAGATGTTCTGGCTTCCAACTCTGGCGATGTGCGAGTTCCGTTGAAGAGTTCCTCAAGAGGAGGATGATATGAACAGCTGTCAAATACTCCCTGAGTGGTTTTCCCATGGTCTTTCAATTGATGTCAACTTATATTGCACTCCTGAAATAGTAATATTGATAGTAATAATGAAAGTAATAGCGATAATCACATCATACATTTATTCCCATTAATTAATTTGAAGAAATCAGGAACAACTGTTTGTTCATAATAATATGGTACCATCATTGTTTATTTCGTTGGCTTCTCATCAGCTACTTATGGAATTTCTTAAATTACTATTAAGTTAATGTACAGAAAGGTTTTAACATACTTGCAAATTTTACATGATATCCGTTGACAGGAAGCTCCAAACTTAGTGAACAGTGCTCGGAAAATTACGCTTACGTATTTTTTATACAGTAAGTTCAAGTTTAAACAAAGAAAATATGTACACAAAGTGGTAAAGGAGTTACGTAATAAAGATGAGAGATACGTAAGATGATGAGTGGCTGATAAATTAGGTAAAATGTACTGAGTTCAACTCAAATCATATTAACAAGAGACAAACAAAATTACACTATATCAAAGGGGTGTAAGGTTAAAGCCAAAGATTACATAGTCAAATGAAAGAGTGGGAGACAGAGTAAGGACATCCAGTTACCAGAGCAAAGAAACACTGATAACTACCTCTTTCTGAATGCATAAATCGGGTTTCAGGCGTTTGCTAGAGGTTGCTTAGGAAGAATAAGGGAGAACTGAACTGTTTTATCAACGCTGACTCTAACAGTGTATACAAATCTACATGTATCTGCGGGAGCAGTTGCACTGTGAGAACAGAAAGAACGACACATCTATGATTTTCTGAACATTTATCGAAAATCCTACATCTCAAGCGAACAAGCATTTACAACAGTGTCATCATCAGGTTCGAGGCATGAGGTAAGAGCTACAAAATCCTTTGAAATTATTAATGAAAGCCCCGTTTACTAAGTGTTGAGCTTCCTGTCAACGGATATCATGTAAAATTTGCAAGTATGTTAAAACCTTTCTGTACATTAACTTAATAATAATAATTAAAGTAATTCCATAAGTAGCTGATGAGAAGGCAACGAAATAAACAATGATGGTACCATATTATTATGCACAAACCACTGTTGTTCTTGCTTTAGTCCAAACAAAAGCCTTCCATAACAAGTTGAATTTCAGGCATAGTATACGTGGCGTACAGAGATAATTTATCGCCTTTGACAAATAAATACATGTGTGGAATTGTAAGTATCATAGAACTGTAAAAAAGCTTATAGAAGAATACTGGTTATTCTGTGTACAGTTTGCTTTTATTTACTGATTATGAAATAGGTTTTAATAAGCTCTTTTCTGATATTCCTCTCTCTCCCCGCTCACACAATCAACACTCGTGCTAAATATGGTTTGGGTTGAATTTTCTCATATTTAGCAGCCTGCATGAACATAGAATCCTACGAAATTTCCTTTCAGGTTTTTTTTATCGGGGGAGACATGAAGGCAGAAATTTGTAAAATAATAAAGAAGATAGCCGACAAGATGACACACTAGCCAGTTAACTGCTTGCTTATGAGAATCAAAATTTGCTTATTAGCAACACCAATGTCAGTTAGTTAAGTAAAGGCACTAATCCAATAGTCCTGACGATGCCCTTCAAAGTTCTACGGAATATATAATAAAGCTTCTATGTAGAGAAGCCCAGTGTAGAATAAAGAAAAATCGGTAGAATACATCAATTACAAAACAAACTGTAAGAGGAGAGTTTGAATTATGGTGCCGGAAAGTCTGAACTTGAACATTACTTAATGAGTCAAACGAAAGGTTTCTTACTTAGAAATCAGCGAGATATGAGATGATGAGAAACTAATACCGACAAAGTGGATAATATTCGAATAATTTCCTACCACCACAGGGTTCTACTGATAGCATGCAGTCAACCTGCACAAGTCTTTTTCATGTCTGTAACTATAAAAAATAAAAATTCTTAGAAAAACCAAAGGTGTCAATATCAGTCTTTAGATCATCAGTACCTTATCGATGGATGTCCTGAAATTGTGATAAGAAGTCGTGGCTGGTGAAATCCACCATTTTTATTCGGTTGGGTTTTCTGCACTGGTTGATGTAATTGTGAAACTTTCATTGTCCTTCAGGATCCCGACCAGTTAGGTATTCTAACCCCTTCCAACCAAACAACAGTCAAATACTTAACGGATGAATGCCTCATTTCGATTTCAATAATCTCACCTAACTCTTTACCAACCTGTGTCTATGTCACCCAGCACTGGCCATTGACGAAGGAGATATCAAGGCTACCATGAGAAACACGTTTCTTAGTCATCCCAATCGTTGCATAGCTTCACAACCTCTTCGATGGACTTACCCTCTCGCATGAGATGATGAAAAGCCGGCGAATCCCGTACGAGTTTTCTAATTATCCGATCAATAGTCAGTCGTTTTAACTTTTAATAGTTCAAAAATTTACACCATTCCGGATATGTTTTGTAATCTACTTACTTTGATATTGTTCAGGTTGTAGGCAGTTGAAAAGAATCCACGAAATAATAATAATATTAGGCTACATACATGTTACTATTGTTCCTATGTTCAAATTAAGCAAACAATGAGATCGATTTTCAAGGTTATTCGCGTCTCTTTTTCTGTTTCAATGCTTGAATGAGTCTACTCACACGCTCTAATCAATCATTCTTTTATTTATATACTCATGTGTGTGTATGTGTGTGTGGGTGTCTGCGTGTGTGAACCAGGATTGAGCTAAGGTGAGTTGAGGTGAAGTAAAGTGAGGTGAATGAATGATTGATACGGGGGTAGTGGTTTCTCTTCGATAGACCAAACTACAAAATAAGTTATAACTGATATACAATACGGTGCTCATGTCTCACGGTGACGTGTAAAACACGCTGAATTTTTTCGTTGAGGTGTATCAGACATTGTTATGCAATGTCAACAATAGTCTAAAGATTTAACCGACATTACCATATAAATGACAAACATGAAAGCAAGTATTAGTGCATAATTTGAATAATTTCGTGTTCCAGAGGAATCTGTGGTGAATCTCTGCACCCCTCAGATTTTGCATAAATTACAAAAATTTAAAAATTTAGTCATAACGTGTTTAGCACGGGCTTTGAGTGAAGAAACAAATATCAGAAAAGAACTTATAAGCCCTTTAAATCAGTAGATAAACAGTAGATTACTATCGTAATAATAATTATTATTGGTATTATTTTTATCATGTATATTATTTATTTATTATTCATTAGGTTCCCCTTATTTCTAGTTTTTGCGGGATTTTATAATTTTTACTATTTTATTTATACATATATTTATTTGCAAAATGCAGCTAAATTGTTGCTATTTTCACAAAATGCCGAAATTTCCACTCACTGTAATTATTATTATGGCTTGGAATAAAGTGAATATATCAATATTATTATTATTACCCACATTCGATACCCTATCACTTCCGCCAATATTGTTTGCTGTGTTAATCTTTACTAGTTCTCCTTTTGTTTCATTATTTACCCTTGGTAGAGGGTATTGACATGTCAACAAAAGAGACATCGAGCCTTTCACTTCACATAGAAATACAGACGCACACTAGCATGCACACACACAGACATTTACAAAAAGGCAATAAACACAGCATGTGAAAGTTAATTTATTCTAATCAGCGTGATTTGATGAAAGGTTATTATTATTATTAGTTCTCCAGTCGTTTTTGTTTGTAGCTCAATCGTTCAATTGTTTAATTTTAATTATCTTTTTTTATTAATATGTGCTTGGTTAATTCGTGATTTCACTTCATCAACTAAATTTAGCGTCGGTGGCACAGCAGTAGAGGGCTCGCCAACCAGGCAAGTGGTCCGGGGTTCGATCCCCTGCCGACACACTCCTTTACTTCGCTAAACCGTCAATAAGACTGATAAAGAGGGAAGGGTGGGCTAGCAACCCCATCCTATAAAAATAATCACCACTGTTACAGAAACTTCAAGCCTGTAGCTTGAAGCCCTATGTTTCACTGGGAGCATAAAGGAATAAAAAAAACTAAATTTTGGTTATTTATTATTATTCAGGACAATAAATAACCTGATCAACGTCTTATAATGATCATTTTCAAGTTTTTCATGCTTTAAAACCTTTGATCAAGTGTACAATGTTATCAATAATATATGTTTACTTAATTGCATGGTTGTTAGTGTGTTTGCTAAGTGTACACTTGTTAAAAATTATAACATAGGTGTATGGATTACAATGATATGTACCGGCTGAGTTCAGGTATCCATAATTACAACACCATCAGTCATTCAACCATCTGCTCATTGAATAAATAGATACAAACATCCAGTTGACGAGTCGCAAATATGACGCAATGTGCATCTTGAATTCCTGAATCCCCAATGAGTGAGCGAGTGACAGAATAACCGACAGTGTTCTCATAGAGATTTGAATTTAAGCCAGCTGCTAACTATAGTTCTGATCAATTCAGTTATGTGATCATTACTGATAAATGCACACAAAGCC